ATACACACACACACACACACTCTCTCACACACACACACACTCACTCTCTCTCTCTCACACACACACACACACACACAAGTGCTGAATGATGCAGATTCCCCACAGCTCACTGAGCAGCACAATGAGACAGAAAACACTGCGGTTAGCATCAGCCGGTTACTGGAGAAGCCACATTTTCTGTGAGCAGCAGCAGGACATCTCACTGCTCAAACCAGTTTGTTACTCACGTTAACTAGTCCTGTTAGCAGTCTGAGCGTGAAGACACAATATCACACTGCAGCGGCTTCTCTTGATAAAATGCTCCATCTTGTTGTCATCGGGCCGCTCGAATACATCTGGCAGAATTGATCACCTGTCAGCCATGAAGTAATTATTACATACTGACGCAGTGGAGCGCCGGCAGCTCATTTATACTCGACCAAACGACCTAACGACCAAACAACGTTTGTTCAAGCTGTGCATGAAATAGACATGACAAGTTATTTTTACCACAGAATCCTCCCATTTGTAATCAGTTTTTTAAAAGCTGTCAGTAACGTTTGACAAACAATACAACATTCAGCAATGAAACGTCAGTCAGTGTGAACAGAGCTCAAACACAAGCAGAGCTCTGATAACCAAATAATGGACCAAGACTCAAAATAAAGATTGTAAGCACTATATTAAGACTCGTTTCTTGTAATACAGTGAGTGGACTGTAAGTTAACACCAGTAACAGCAGCTCTGATTGAGTGCTCCAGCATCAGTCTGAACTCATCCTCGATGCTCCTTCGTACTAAAGAGTGTGAAACACCTCAGATCTGCTTCAGACCGTACTGAATCTGAGCTTTTACACCAACAGCACACCTTATGAATCTCAGGCGGGTTCAGCATCTCGAGCATCAGACAGTTCCTCCAGATCTTTCTCTCTCACGAGTGGAGTTCGTATGAAACCACAGGCAAGATTCAGACGGACTTCAAGTCACACAGAACTGACTCGCTGCGGACGCGACACGCACTCAACGCCCATCCATCAATCAAATCATGATGTTTGCTAAAGGAGGGGTTTTGCTCGTCATCAGCACTTAAGACAAGAAATGACCGTGACGATAATCAAGCGATTTCAACATACTCTTGACAAAACTAAGAAACACTGCAAGATATTAGCAATGCACTAACTGCAATAATACGCCATTTCAGTCAGAGTAAAACTGACACAACAAAATATTGACTCGAAGGGCCGTTCACCCCAGAACGATCGTTCTGTCATCATTCACTCTCCGTCATGCCGCTCAAACCTGCTGACTTTCATTAAAGAAGATATTTTGAAGAACACTGGGAACCAAACAGCATTGGACCCCATTGACTTTCTCAATGGACAAAAAACAAAACATCCTCTTTCGTGTTCTTAAAATGTTCATTTTACGTTCTTTAAACTGTGACAGAAAGATCTTTTTTTGGCTCAGCTATCCCCTTTTCGTCTGAATACAAACCCAAAGCTGACTTTATGTTATAACGGCGCTGTGATGGTCCTTACCTGAGCTCCAGAGCTGCAGTTTCAGCCGTCTGGCCTTCCTGAGACGGCTCTTTAAAATGACTTACCTTTACCTATCAAAAACAAAGACAAAACTGCAGCTGCAATGAAAATCTGTTTATTCAGCCCTCGAATAATACACCAATAACCGCAGACACTGAGCGACTGACAGGTCGCGAGTCCTTCGACAGGTGGCTGGCAGCTGGAAATCGACCCTCGACGGAGTTTGTGAACTAGTGCAGAGAGATCAGGACTGAACTAGCCAAAGGATCCGGGATGAGTTAGTGCCACTGAGGGGTCAGGAGGAGGATAGGAGCTCATGTGGGGCTCGTATGTGGGGTTGGAGGTTAGTACTTTAGTAAAGAAGAGCAGGTCAGACACAAAAATGGTTGTTAGTACAGTTACAACAAAGGTTTCATTCGGATTAGTAACAGAATTTGGGTTTTAGTCAATTAGTAGAGCAGTCAATTGGTGAAATCCTTTGTGACTTGATTCCACGAGAGAGATTGGTCTGAATTGTCACGTCTGGTGGGTTTTGAGGTTACGAGGAAACAAAATAAACCATCCAAAAGAGTCAGGACATGGGGAAGAAGCCATGCAGTTGAATGCGCAGATGAAGATGCTCTCAGTGGGAATGAGCTGCGGACACAACCGATGAAGGGCAACACAAACGCCTGAGCGAGAGCGCTCGCAGCCGATGGCGCGGAGAGAGTCAGAACGGAGTCACAGCACGCCACAGATGGAGGAGCGGCAACATTTAGTTGATTAAGGGGTTAAATCTGAAGGTGGGACACAACAACATGAGCACTTTGAGTCCAGAGATTTGCGTGCAAGCCGGTACAGCTTGTGCATCGCAGACTCCCTCTCGCTGCGGGTGGACGAGATGCAAGCGGATGGAAGCATGCACACACATCTGCTAAAGAATACCAAAGAAAACACAACAGGAGAGTTTCCACTGAAGCGTCACACACATGGGTATAAATGAGTGGAAACGGCTCTGGCTGTGAGCTGTCAGTCATCTACGGCTGTCCATCTGCATCGGGCCAAATAACACAATAAGCATGGCTCTCTCTGCCTCAGAAACATTGTTATTCTAGGGCGCCGAACCCCTGCCAGAGTTCATTAGCTCTGTATGATTGCATACTAATGCAAGCGGCCCGGGCTGATAATCTCGTCCTGGAGGATCTGGCAGCGGGAGGCGAGAGACCTGTCAATCACGCTGACCCGAGATCAGGAGGCCTTAGAGCGGACCTACCGACTAACACAAGCACAAAGTCTTTACTGATGTCAATGATTTCTGTTAGAAGGGGCGTGGCTTTGTGCATCTCTATAGGCTCTGTTAGATCATAAATATGCCTGAGTATGAACATACACGTATATCACCGGACCGAAGCAAGAGTGTTTCTGCTGAACGACGTCATGCCTGAGTTTCATTACTGAGTGAGCATCAGCATTAATGAACACAGAAACTTTCCCACATGCCACGCAGCTGTGGGCGGGGCTGTGGGCGGAGCTGTGGGCGGAGCCGCGTGTTTGACGAGTCCAGTGACAGGCAGTAAAGAGCTACAACGACACACGCCAGTGTTGTTAGTGTTAAGTGCAACTAAATAAAGCTGAAATAAAATAATGTAAATATTAAATGAAAAAAACAACAACAAAAACAAAAATAAAAATGAATAATTAAAGATTAAGTTGAATTACTCAAATGACTTAAACTGAAATAAAAATAAAGACTATTAAAAATTGTTTTAATTAATTGAAATAAAGCTTCAAAGTGTTAAGTGCAACTAAATAAAGCTGAAATAAAATAATGTAAATATTAAATGAAAAAAACAACAACAAAAACAAAACTAAAAATGAATAATTAAAGATTAAGTTGAATTACTCAAATGACTTAAACTGAAATAAAAATAAATTAAGACTATTAAAAATTGTTTTAATTAATTGAAATAAAGCTTCAGAATACATAAATATTAGATGTAAACCTTAAAATGCCTAAACTTAAATAAGTTTAAAATAATGAATAATTAAACAAATAGAAAATATTACAAAAATGACATGTAAATAAGTTTAAGCTTAAGTAATTAATGCTACTAAACTTGAAATAAAAATAAATTAAAACTATTAAACATTGTATTTGTTAATTGAAATGATGCTTAAATAAAAGTAAAAATATTAGATGTAAACCTTTAAAAACTTAACTCAGTTTAAGCTGAAGTACTAATGTGACTAAAACTGAATGAAAAACAAAGCTAAGAAACAAAAACTAACAGAAATGACAAAAGCAGAAAATTACTAAAACCAAACGGAAAGTATACAAATGAAAGCTAATTAATTATTAAACATCACACGAGTGTATAACGAATCCTAAACCAGCGGCGGTTTGGTCTGATCTACAGTCGATTCTCACCGTGCTGCCTGGCATCAGTAATGCTTCCCTGGGAGGTGATAGAGGCCAGTGTGCTCCGGCAATAATGAATTGTTCATGTTTATCAATTAGGCTAGTTGTCCTGTGGGTACGGACATTAATGAAATCATCCCTCACCCTGGCGAGAGCCTCCATGACTTCACAAACCCAAAAGCATGTGGCTTGGGGACAGTGAGGGTCAGTCCTGACCTGCTGAATAAATCAGAGCGGGTCCGGGATGTGTTTTATCTGAACCCGGGAGAGCAGGAGCTCCAGGAGAGACGGAGGTTCTGGCTGCACACCATCTCCTTGAGCCGATATCAAAAGAGCTGTCATTACCAGCTAAAGGACCGCAGGCTACTGTGATGCTGAGACACTTCCGCAATATTAAAATCAATATCGCTGAATCAGAAATCGCAGACTCGCAAAAAATACACTCCAGGAACGTTTAACTAACATTCCCATTAAGTTACGAAAATGTCACTTCTGAATGTTTTCTGAATGTTCAAAATGTCAATTAAAAAAAAAAATTTTTTTTTTATCTTGGTTGTAAAAATATTCCATTGTATCATTTTGCAAACATTACTGGAACGTTAGTTTTGAATGTTCTCCGAACGTCCTGCAGTAACATTTAAAGAACATTAGACTGACGTCCAACTAAAATGTTTCAGAAAACGTTCCATGAGCGATGCATAAATAATGTTTCTGTGCAAACGTTATTAAAGACCAGATAACTTTAAATGAACGTTCCATTTACGTTCTATTGACCTTTGTAGGTTTGTTCTGAGGACGTTTCCGGCTGGGATGAGTTCCTTCCGTCCTGCCACTGGGCTCGTGTACCGTCCCTCAGATGAACGCTCAAATCGGTTCAGATGGTAATAAATAATGTTAGGTAAGTCAAGTAAAGGGGAGGCGCAGCTACAGTTAAAGTTTCATTGCGCTCTGTTGAGAAACATACGAATGATGATATGGACTGAGACTCAGCTCAACGGGAGAAATCAAGCGTTTGACCCGAGATCTGTCGCGCCTGTGGTTCCTGACGGGAGCGGAGGTGCAGGATGGACAAAACAAAGAGAAAACCATGAGCGAATGAGACAGAGAAACCAAAGAGTGAGTATCTGTAGTCTGATCGCTACCTTGATACCAATGGGGATTTGTGTAGTCAGTATAAGCAAACAGAATAGAAATAGGAAACGGAAATCCAGGGCAAACCAAAGTAGAAGACAATTAGAATGATATCTACCATATAATGCAGTTTGTTTACCATAGCGTGTCCAATGCCTGAGTGCTTTAGGAAAAAAACAAGGGAAGGGAAAGAAAATATATAGAATAATGACAAATCGTGAAGCCAATAAAGGTCTTTTGAAGAGCGGCGGTCTTAAACCGGCCTTCGCGCTCTCTTTTCCTAATGTGGTTTTTGTGCAAGAGAATCAAGATCCAAATCCAGAACTAAAGCAACAGAATCTCTTCATTGAAGGATTTGTCAAGCAAAACAAAAACATGACAGTAGTATTGTTATTTTGGTTAGTACGTCAGTTAATTCGGAA